TCTCTTATATATGTCGTGTGCATATATACAATGCATATAAAAACACACACTTGTTTGTGAAGGGGCAAATAAAGCCAAATATGCAAAGCTATCAATGATCCTCCTATTGGAATAAAAGAATCATCTTGTGGTCACACTATCTACACTGTCCCCAACAATACCTTTATTTTGAAGGGTTAACGTAACAGCAATGCGACAAAATAAATAGAAAATGGAGTTCACCAAAAATAAAAGAAGAAAAATGATGATTTCTGGGCCAAACACTAAACAGTAGTACTTATTTGTGGTCTAATAAATGACTCTTTTTAGTTGTCAAAGTTGGTCTCAATAAATGAAAAAGCAACAGCGTCCACGTGGGGTCCTGCGGCCACCACCAGTGTCGGGCTTGCCCACGCGGGGTCCGTGGTGTCCGGCGCTCCAGCGCTTCCGTAGGACCCTCGGACGCCCGCGCCGCCGCCGCCGCCGCCAGAAGCCGCCGCCGTGACCGCCACCGTCTGTAGCAGCAGTCCCGTGGCCATCCCCGTGGGATCTAGAGCTACAGCCCCTCCGCGGTCATCCACGCCACAACCAACGCCGAGGCCAGACTCTGCCACCGCCCCATCCCTGCGGGCAACGTCGTCGGCCCTCACTGCCGCGGCCAACACCAGTGTCGACCCCGCCCATGTGGGAGCGTCACTGCAGACCCCCTCCCCATCCCCAATGCCGCCGACGTCGGGTTCCACACTCTCACTGACCACGGCTCCGTTCTACCCACCTTCGGGAGGCATACGAAGCACCATCGGAGGGTGGACGATGATGGCGAGGAGTTTGACGGCGATCATCCCACAACCTACCTCGATGATGTCCGTCGTCCAATTGCTTCGCCGCCGCGCACCCAACATGCCGCTCGTCGTTCGGCGAAGCCGGCTACTGCGTCCCCCATGCGTGCCCAGACTCGTTCGGCTATGTATCTGGGGCGCGGCGAAATGGACGTTGGACACCTACCCGTGCAAAGGCAGAGGAAGTGCACGCGGCTGCGCCCCCAGCTGGTGCATGGCCTGCCTGCTCGGCCAGTGGATGGTCAGGTCCCTACTCGCCAACGCCTCGGCGGCCGCAGGTGGGTCTCTGCCCCCTATGCCAAAGGGTGGTGGGAGATCCTATCTCGGCAGGAAGTGGGACCTACGGCTGCCTCAGTTGAGCCTCGTTGTGACCTATGTCTGCGCGCATAGGATCGAAAGATACCCACGCAGCTTCGCGGCAGATGCTTCAACTGCCTCTCCTACTCGCACCGAGTAGCAACCTGCCGGTTGCCACAGCGTTGTCTGTGTTGACGCGGATTCTGCCACCTCGCCAGGGAATGCAAGCGGCCCAAGTCAGCGCCGAAGGGCGGTGGCCTACCTCGCCGCTTAGCTCGTGCCGACAACCCATTGTCGGCCTCCGAGCACGCTCCTTCCGATAGTCCACCGACCTCGGATGGGACCGTGCTGGGTGCCATGGGGAGCGCCGACGGCATCCGTCAGAGCCGGAGACGACGCCGATGACACCGGCGGCGCCGGGGTGAGCCAACGCCGGACATCAGCGTGGGCACGCCTACCGACTACGCCGATGATGCCACTGCTTCGACTACCGCACGTTGTTTCCTCGAGCCAAATCTGCTGGCGGAGGCAATGTGCGAGGGCACAGGGCCTCCTGCTTGGATCGTCTCGGTCGATCCGATGCTGGACGAGCTTGTTGCCCTCAACGGTCCCCGCGACGCAACAACCCCACCCTTCGGTGTCCTAGGCAACGGCAAGGATGGCCGTCCGTCCCTGGGGCATGAGGCAACCAGTGATGCAGCGCCAACCATGGCGGGATAGGCCGATCATGCGGGCGCAACTAGCGATCATGAGGGGATGGAGGTCCCACCGTCCTCACCATTGAAGGCACACACCATAGCTGTGCCTTCAGCCCAGTGCATGGATGTCGGACCGCAAGCTAAGGCGGCCGACGTCACGGCAACGGGCGTCATTCAGGCAACCGATGAGCTGATCGCTGAGGGCACACCCACACCAAGGGAGACTGCCAAGCGACTAGCTAGGTTCATCGAGGAGGTCCAGGTAATGAGGCAGCCACCTCTCATAAACTCCCCGCCCAAGTAGAAGCTGGGACCAAAGCGGACCACTCTGCCCATTAGGAGCAGACGGATTGCTGCTCAGCAGTTGGACCACATCCCGGCTTCCAAACGCGGCGAAGTACTGCTCATGAAGAGGATTGGGATCCTGGCACCTGCAGCGCCGATTTCCTCTGCAGCCAAGCGTTCGTACAATTCATACTTCCAGGGCACCCTATCCAAAGCAAACATCAAGGCGCTTGATGAGCTATTCCCAACATCCAGGGCGATGACTGGTGGAGCAGTACGGTCTGGTACCTCAGCTAGATCGTAGTCTAGGTTGATCCTAATGAATCCCAAGGTTGTCATAATTAAAAATGTAGTCTCTTTGAGGTAACCATCAGGCTGGGAATGGCCTCTCTTGTATTTCAAACTTCTATCTTTTTAATACAATGATACGCAATGCTCTTGCGTATTCCAGAGAAAAAACAGCGCTTAAAAAACCAAGTGTGATACAGGTCAACCATAAGTTTTGCGGTTGGCCATTTTTTTTAAAAAAAGGATTATTAATTCAAAATCATTATATCGAGTTGATATAACAATCTTGAACTCACTTCCAACCTGAAGCACACATCCTGAAAAAAAAAAGGACACTTAAGATTTCTTTACATGCTAGAAGAAGATAACATAATGCATGTGTATATGTCCCTGCTGCATGCATGGCCACTCAGATTTTGTTGGGTTGGACGCATGCATAATCCATGGAGCTAAGAGCCGAAGAAAGAAGAGCCATGCAACCCTATCTTGTCGAGTTGGGACCCTGGAAATGACCCTAAAGTTTGGAACGGGGGAGGCCAGCCAAATGGAAGGTGTAGCAGCAAGCATGTGATTCCCCGGGAGGAAACCAGGCCCCCACATCTCCGACGACGCTCTCACATTGCATGGCTGCTGTGGTGTCCAACATGCATGTGACCCTGGTCTCAGCCTCCGGGACGGCCCCCCATGCTTTTAATTTGAGCCTAAAAAACGGACAAAAGGAACCTATAGCTACACAAAATAAAGCAAACTAATCCTGCTTTGAAAAAGAAAACAGAAACATAATCAGTTCGTTTATTTTGCTTTCTTCTTTTGTACGTGTACGTAGTTTATGTCTCATGCGTTATTAGAACACATTACAACACATATGTTCATCACATAAGATCAGTATACACTAAACTCATTCTAGGTGACAAGCGCACGCACTCCTACAACTATGCATGACCACCTCGAAGCGGCGGAGGAAGGATTAACATATCTTCAGATTGAAGTAATCACCAAAGAAGCGAGCATCAAATCGTTGTTGTTGTCAAGCATCAATATCATCTATCAGTGAAAGAATAATTATGTAGCTATAAAAGATTTGAACTTATGCGGGTAAATTTCATCAAAAAAAATCTAAACATGCTTTCTTAAACATATATGTAAGCATGTTTAATTTCTTAAACATATATGTAGTTTTTTTTTTGCGACGATTATCCATAATGAATTGATTGACCGCTCATGTATGAATCTACAGCTGTGCTTGTATCCATATCTATCCTCATTTTGGCTCCAAAATAATCAGCGTCAAGAACAGTTACAAGTGTCACATCACAAATACTAATTTGATTGCATATGTCTCCGTCTAGCGCGCTATACAACAAAAGAAGGAATTAAAAAATAGCACGCAACGCATGCTGCACTTGCATTGTGCTGGCAAAATACGTGCAGGCACAGAGCTAGGGGGCAACACGGCAGGGAACAAAGAGACAAGCAACACGCTACGTAAGTTCCAGAGTCGTTTATCGCTAGCTACTCATATATATTAGTAAAGATATGTATCAATACATGCATGGAGAGACACAGTGGCATTCATGCAAAATACACGTCTATCCACTCGGCCGGTCTACACGCGCGTACATCCAAAACCTCTCCAGAAGGCAGAAGCGGAAGCGGAAGCGGAAGCAGAAGCACAAGCAGAGCCAGAGAGACATGCATGCATGGCTGGCGTCGTGACATGCACATATGCGCAGTGTTTTGGTTCTCTACTATAGTCCCGTCTCAGAAAACCGTGCATTCAGTTAACTGTGCGCGGTCACAACACTTTGTACCGTGTGTGGCAGCACATGCATGCTGTGAATATGCACATGTCGCACACAGCACTAGCACATATATATACTACTGAATGCACATGGAATCGTACGTTACCGCGCGCGAGAAGAAGGTAAGGACACATGCTGCAGTCATGGAATGGAGTGAAATGATCCAAGGAGAGCAAGTACTCTCGCGCAGGTACACACACAGTGTAGCGCAGGTACACAGACATGCATGCACGCACGCACGACACGGCATATCGGTCGCAGAGAGACGCAGAGATCCCTTGTCGTTCCTTGAGCCGGATCGCATGCGTGCGTCCGGGCCCTGCTGGCATGATGCAGCCAGGGCCAGGGGCCAGGGGACAGGGGACAGCTGCTGCGTCTGCCTGATGCCGGCACAAATGATCGATAGAGATGACGACTGGGGACACATGTGCTAGTGTGCTTATTCTATGCGAGATGCCCTCCTTCCCGCGCGGCGCGTCCTTGACCAAATCAGTTGCTTTTGTTGTGTTGTGCTTATTAGTTAACTCATGACTCTAGCTTAGCTAGATCTAGGCTAATCTGGGTACAGTTAACAAACCTCAGCTCTCACACACTTCCACTGCCGGCAGCCCGCTAGCTATAAATAGCGGCCCATTGCAATGATATGGAACCAAGCGAGCAATACAAGCACAACTAGTTGCGAGCTCTCCATCCCTAGGAGTACCAGCAACTGGCTAGCTAGCTCTCTCCACTATAACTGCAGTAGCTAGCTAGTATAAGCTGCAGAGACAAGATAGAAGAAGGCCACATTTCGAGCTAGCTCGAGAGCAGCAATGGCGAAGCAGCAGGAGGAGGTTTACTTCGTGTTCATGAACTTTGACCCCGTGTACGAACGCCTCAGAGCTGATCGGTAACTAGTCTACTTTCTTGCGTTGTTTTTGTTTCTTCACACTGCTGCATATATACACTGTTATATATGTGTGTATGTATATATATATGCTGGTTCATCTCCAAGGTCCAAGGAGGGGTCGGCCACGCTGGATGCATACCTGAGTCAGAAGCACGACAAGCTGCTCGCCAAGCTCCTCCAGCCCGACTCCTACCGCAAGAGGTCGTCCCTCGCCATCGTTGACGGCTTCGCAGTCGAGATAACTGAGGATCAGGTGATGGCCGCTCCTTTAATACTCTTGGAGAATGTATGGGTGTATCAAAACTAGCCCTATATTACAAAGCATTATGGATCCTCTTCACCTTCATTCTCTGATCAGCCATGTGTGTGTTTGTGAACTTATTATTACGTCATGATTTCGACAGGCAAGCGTTCTGAGATCGGCCAAGGAGGTGAGGGTGGTGGAGAAGAACCAGGAGCTCGCATGACATGATCTCTCTGCTAGCTATCTCAGTCAAACGGCCGGACGGGACTAGTTTTATGTATAGATGCTCTGGAGCGCATCAGCTGGTGTGTGTGTGTGTGATATATATATATATATATATAAGCGTACGTTGTTTACTAAGGTAAAGTTGTTCTTGTTCCTAGCTAGCTAGTCAATCGTGTGTTAGTTGTGCGTGAGTGTGAACTCTCATGCATGCATATGGCTTTGTTGACTCCCCTAGTCAAACTTAGCTGCTGCTAGTAGTACTAAGTACTACCCTAATATATAATATAGTTCTTCGCTAGCTAGGGCCTAATGATCATCGTCAGAGCATCAACGACTTCCAGACGATTATATTAAACTCTATGATCGATCTATAACTGTAATGGCTGTGATTTGTTCAAAAGCTATATATATGTACTGTATTAAGTAAACTTATAACTGTGTAACTATCTTCAGTCATGCATGTGGCTTCAGCGCGCAATCACTATCCACAAATTAATGTGCATCAATGTGAACTCACGTACTGTACATATGTATATAATATATAATATGTATGTGTATTAGCTATATGGATACTTTGGGTGCCTACACATATATGTAGGTACATATATGCATGGCAGAATGTGATGGCGTGTCCTTTATTTGAGGCATTGCATCGGTTGACCTGATGTTGTTGAAACGAGACAAGAATTGAAGAGCGAACCTCTTGAGAAGAAGATCACAGATATGATAATTGGCAGTTGCAAGGCTTTCGAGGTCTTGATATATGCATGCATGGCGCCATTAAGCGTCAACACTCAACACAACTCGACGCCGGCCTTTGCATTGGACTGATGAGCTAGAAGCCTAGAACGAAAAACATAGCTAGCTAGCTAGCGTGCATGGAAAAGCACATCTCTTCGTCATGCATGCAAAGTTGTGTGTCTGTCTGGGGAGGATATAAGATGGAGCTAGACGATGATGATGGAACTAGTACGTGTGACACCTGCTTTACAAACTGTCACCCGTGTATAATACATATACTGACCTGCTACATACCTATACAGCTACAAACAAGACATAGTACGTCGATCAAAAAATTACTTTGAATGCGTGTAGATAGGCCCTAGATCACAATATGCCAATAATGTACAATGTCCGATTAGGAAACAGTAGTACAATGTAGATGCATGGACATATGTGATATGCCACCTGCCGGAGCTGTAGCCGACACAGGATTCCTGGATGAATAGAGACCAAGCACAGTCCATCACACTACTAATGATCGACACGTTAGGCGCCTAGACGGTGACAAGGCAATCAACACGATATATGCTTATTTTCTCACTTCTTCTAGCTATATACTCCATCTGTTCCAAATTATAAGCCGTTTTGGTTTTTATGGTTCATAGTTTTTGCTATGTATATAAGTGTATAATAAAAGCTATTTATCTTACAAAGCTAAAACAATTTATAATTTGAAACAAAGGGAGTACTCTGTAGGGGTGCAAACCCCTCCAGTTTCCCTTAAAAAAAACAAAGGGAGTACTCTATATCTCAGGTGTTTGAATTTTTTATTGTTGTTTAGACAACATATATATAATTTTATTATTGTTTGTCTATAGTAAAAATTGTAAATTGTCTCTTGTGAGTTGTTTTTAGTTGTACTATTAGTTGTCTATGTAAGATTGTTGACTACAAATTCAAGCACCTGAAATATAGCAACTCTTATTTTATTTTTTGTTACCTTCTGCTGGACTCTAATCGATGTCAACATAATAAATGCATATTAGGCCCATTGGCATTTCAGAATTAGATCATTTTTTTAAAAAAACTTGGGGGCGGTGGGAGAGGGAGAGCTTCCCCACCTGATTTTCAAAATTTGATCATCAGTATCAATTACCTCACTTCCAATCACAAATATAAGTACATCTGGATTTGGATTCTAATTGATGCCAATATCGAACTCCTGGCCGCTTGGATGTCGTGGAAAGAAAGAAACAATAGAGTCCTCCAACGTCGTGCGACTCAATGGTTCACTCCCTGGTCCTCACTTCCCACTTGGGGTCAGGAAGATTTTAATGAGGCTATACAATGGAACCTAGCGGGTTACAAACACCTTGAGACCTGATTGCTAGTTTGATTAGGGATCAAGGAGTTGCAAGAGTTCACACTCTAGACCTTGTAAACATCCAATCGCAACACAGTTGTTTGCATATAGTCCTTAGCTTCAAGGGTAATTTACTTTATTTCTTCCCCTTTTTAATGAAAAATATGCTACGACACGGTCGCTACTAGATATCAATGTTCGAAGTTCATTAAAAAATGTATATAAAGTTTTATATAGGTTGACAACATATATAGGATACATTGGTATTAGTGGATTCAATGCAATATGAAAAGTATTCTTGATAATATATATAATATTTTTAAACTGTTGAAACTTGCGGTTTCAGATAGGTAACTGGGGGCCTCCGCCCGTGGACGGCTGTCCTCAGGCGGAGGCTCGGTTAACAGGAACGATCGCTGGGCGTGTAAGGGAAAGGGCACGGAAAGCTAGGGTTTCATTAATGCATTTTTCAACCACCCCCTGCTCGGTTACAAGTGTTCCCTATTTATAGGGCTCAACTACTTCATGACAGAATTTATTACAATGCCCCTCAACTGCTACAGTACATTCCTGAAATATTCCGCCGCTAGCCTCTCGTTTGCGGGGCAATCCTGCCATACCATCTCCGAGTAATGGGCCTCCATGAGCAGTCGGCCCACCATGCTTCGGTCTTCGGCCCAAAGGCCTGGGTCCCCGGTGCTGGCCTCCATCTCCAGGGGCGCCACGCTATCTCGGTGGTTCTCCGCCGGCCGGTCGGAGACATCTCCCGCGGGTCTCCGCCCGGCCACGCGGGGGCCATGGCTGTCGACGCTGGCCTCCGCCTTCAGGGGCGCGCCGTCGCCCTGGCGGGTCTCCGCCGGTCCGGTCGGAGGCATCATCCGCAGGCCTCTGCCCGGCCGCGCGGGGGCCAGGCTAGCGCACTCGCGCGGTCCTCGGGCGCCCGCGCTTGAGTACCTACACACAATTAGGTGAGATCGTTGTTTAATTAGTTTGGAGGTGAGGCGGCCTTCGCCCTCCTGGCCGGAGGTACCCTCGTATCCTGCGGACTGCGTGGGTCTCCGCCACCCGTGGTGGCCATGTTACAACAGTTCCCCCTTTTGAGACCACGGTCCGCCTGAGCGTGTCGTGAGCTCAAAAAACGCCCCAAACAAGGATGTCCATGGGGGCGGAGACTACGCGCAGTCATGTCTTCGACCGATCCCCGCTGGTTGGGGGCGGTGACTACGCGTAGTCATGTCTTCGACCGATCCCCGCCGGTTCCCCCCTGACCCGTTCTGGCGCGGCCGTTGGTCTTGTCGAAGTGGCCGATTAAACCGAGCCGTTGCACACCTTGCATTTTATCCGGAGATGACCGTTGGGCTTCAGGCGAACTATCCGGAGAAGACCGTTGCCGCCAATCGGGCTGACTGGAGATGACCGTTGTTCGGCGGGAGCTGAGCCACCCGCCCGCGGCCTATATAAGGGCGAGGTTGGTGGCGGGGTCCCCCCCCACACGACTCGTTTGCTTGCCTTGCAGCGCCAGACACCGCTCTCTGCTTTCTTTGCTCATGCCTGAGTCGCGTCCACGTGTTCCTTCTTTCCGCTTGCGCATTCCTCCGTGGTTGCGGTCGCGGTGGCTCTCTCTTCCACCTTCGCCCATACTCGCCGGCCCGCCTTCTTCGGTCCCTATCGCCACCTTCTTGGTGTTAGGGCAGGCGGCTGGGGTGCATGTTTCGAGGAGTGCATGCTTGCCTCCGTGTCCATGTTGGATTTTGAGAATCTGCTGGAGGAAGATTTGGGGAGTGTCTCCGCGTCCGTCGGAGACCTGATCGCTGTGGATTCTGGAGACATGGCGATAAAGTCATGGGACTTCGACCCCTCCTCCATTACTGAAGAGGCGGTCGCGGAGATGTCGAAGGAGTCGTATTTTCCACCTTCTAGGGTAAGGATCCCTCCGTCTGGCCAGACTGTTCCGGAGCCGGAGGAGGGATATGCGGTGGTGTTTCGGGACTTCTTCGTCTGCGGCCTCCGCCTTCCTTACGGTCCCTTCCTCCGCCGGGTGTTGGAGACCTTCAACGTCCAGCTCCACCATCTGACCCCTACGGCCTTCCTTACGCTCAGCAAATTCTGCTGGGCGTGTGCTTCTTATGGCGCCGAGCCGGATGTGGACACCTTCTGCACCTACTATGAGCTGCAGAAACAACCGAAGAAGAGGAAAGAGATGCGGGACGGCAAGGAGGTGGAGGTGGTCTGCCAGTATGGTAGTTGTACCTTCATGGCGAAGAGGAACCAAGGCGTAGATCGCCTGGAGATTTCTTTTTGCTAGAAGGGCAAATGGGACCACGGCTGGCTCGAGGGGTGGTTTTATGTGAAGACCTACAGGGTTCACGGCACCACCGACGATGGCGTGGAGGTCGTGGAGTACCCACTGACTTCAAGGATGGAGGCTATGGCGCCGCATACGCGTGTGGAGCTACCGGAGGCGGTATCTCCGATGAGGGAGGCCTATGACCGGGCCTTCGTGTTGGCGTGCCGCTACTCCGGGGGCCGCGATCTGGTGGAGGAGATCATGGCCTCCGACTATTGGCCCCTTAAAGGAGACAATCCACCCTTTAGGCTTGAAATGGTGAAGATTCCCATTTTTGGGCCGGAGGCTGGGATTCCGTTCCCCCGCTTCGGCCAGTCTTTGGGCGAGGGCGTAACGGAGGACAATTTCGTCTCTGAGGTTGAGGAAGCTGCTATCAGGTTGGTCGGCAAAATTTCCGAGCGTGAGTACATGTCTCGGAGAGCCGTGTCCAGCATCATGCCGTGGCTCAATCGAGTTTTTGAGGAGCTCGGGATCATCTACCGGGAGCGTGAGGTTCCCGCGGAGGTTATTGCCTCAATTGACAAGAAGAAGAAGACCTCCATGAAGAATGCTAATGTTATGGCGG